AACTCCCATTAGGTTGTAATGAAATGTACCGTAAATGTTAAGTGTAACGTAGCCGGAGAAAAACTAAATAAGTTGTTTTTCGGATACTTACATAAGTAACCTTTACAAACGGATATATTTATAACATGTTTTCTTAGTATTGTCGATATCATAATGATGCCATATGACAAAAAAAATTAAAAAAGACTTCGTTGCGCAACTACCTAATAAATATTTAGATGTAACGTGACCAGTGTTTTTCTTTTTATTTAAAATCTTTTTGTTGACTTGATAACGATTCTCATTTAATATTAATGCATATTTTAGAGGGTATTCGCGTTAGCAATTGCAATTTGAGCATTCTGCCTCTTAATTTTGATAAATATTCTATTTGAAGAAAGTAATATGTGAAAAATATGCTTTGAAATCTTTTTCTCTTGAGAATTGTATTATATATTTGCCTTGAATTCAATGAATTTTTTTGTAAAACTGATAAGTTATCTGCCGCATTACACGTTACTGTCACTACAATTTTATAGAAGCTGTTACAAGCCTACACCAGACTATGAAGAGGTGATTAATGTATTTAATTTGTTAAAAATTGCTCATGCGGGAACTCTTCCATGGAACTGCGATAAATGCTTTAACATTTTTACCTAAAACTTTTGTTTATGATGACAGACTAGAAGAAAAAATTGATAAGCCAACCTTTTTTTTGTTGTTTAATGGACAATCGGCGGCTTTGGTGTGGTGTAATGGTAAGCATTGCGCGCTTCCACTCCGCAGGGCCTGGGTTCAAGCCCTGGTCAAAGCAACAACGCAAAAAATTTTTGAAAAAAAGTTTTTTCTTTCCGGCATTTCTGCCATGAAAAACAGCTTCTCATAAAAATACAATCGCCGTTCGGAGTCGGCGTAAAACTGTAGGTCCCTCCCCTGACAACATCAAGGCTCACGCCACAAATCGGAGGAGGAGCTCGGCCAAACACTAACACATGCATGTGTAAGCGCCAATCTATTATTATTATTATTATTAATGGACAATTGATTCATATTGTAAACAAAATGCGTTCGAATAAATACAAAAATACAATTTCATAAAGCGACCAATTTTTTCACTTAACAAAGTTTTACATTTTTGAGTCTTTGATGTTCAAGAACAAAAATGTAAACAACCATTTGTCAAATAAGAATCTAAAAATGAGAATGTCTTTCATATCCAATTCACTGTATTACACTGTGTCATGGAACAAACTAAGACAGATGAGTAGAAAATTAAATATTCTTGCGGCTTACTCCTACCTCTAAATTCCAGTATACAGGGCCAGAATTCTTTTTCATGGAACAATACTATTTTTCATTCAATTTTGCTTGTAATCGAGTCTACTCTTGACCAACTCAACAAAACCAGCTGAGGCGCCGCACATTCTCAAGAAAACAACCGAATGGGAAATTTTTCCCAAAAAAAAAAAACAATTAAAAGTCTATGTCTTTTATTTGCGAAAAAGAGTGCTCTTTGTTAATTAGTTGCCACCGCGGGTTATCGTTTTAAGGCCAACAGCAGTCACATGTGCGAATGATAAGAAGTGTAATAAATAATAGCCACTTACAGTGAGAGCACCGAACAATATGAACGTCCAAAAAATGAGCTACAAAAAAATTGTCGAATTCGGGATCATTATCATTTGCAATTAGGTGCTGACATAAAAACGTTGTTAAATAAAAAAAAATAATAATAATTCTGCTGCTCGTATTTCAGTCCAATTTCAACTTTCTCCTCCAGAAATTTTTTTATGGAATATTTTAATTGATTGATAATAAGTGCATATTGAACTTTTTGTATCGCTATAATTTATGCAAAACTTTGAGGAAGGCTAGGAACATTTTACGGTCAATGTCTTATAAATATTGCCTTGGTTTAAAGTACGAAGCCTCTGATGTTATATGCCAACTAGGGCGGGTCGAAAATCTAATTTTTCTCAAATCCCTTGGTAATAGTGAAAATATATTGTATCATGAATTCAACAACAAGCCTGCAAAATATTGGTATTTTAAATACATATATTGTTATTGGGCTTTGTACCAGGATTGTGTTTATTAGGAAAAATGGAAAAAGCAACAAAGTCTAAGCGGTAGAAGTTGTAGTAGCAACTTCGGAGATCACCACATCTCCTCATCAGACTTCTTTTTTATCTAGATTCAGCAGGTATCGAACCCGCGTCATCGATGTGCAAAGCCAGAAGCGTTAACCAATGAGCTATGTACACCCCGTAAGATGTGGTGATCTCCAAAGTAGCTGATATAACTTCTACCGCTTAGAATTCTTTTATCAAATCAAATGTCTTCAAATATTGCAATCGATTTGAATCTTCAAACTAAGCTCGGACCCGATGACAGTGCAATATGAAAGAAAAATTAATCCGGTAGGTGGCGCAGGGGTCGAGATATATGAAAAACCCGTCCTTATGACCTAATTTGTTTCATATTTAGAAAATTTATTATATAAATGGAAAAATACCACCAAAAAGTATTTTGCCATTAGTTGGCAGGCGGATACAATTTTTCTTTTTTTTTCACCACTAATAAAAGCTTTACTTAGATAAATTTCTTTTTAAATTACTGGTTGAAAATTAAAATTTTTATTTATTTTATTTCTGAGTACTGGAAAATTTTCTACTGCAGAAATTTACTTATAGTGATTTAGTTTCTACCAAAAACTATCGCCTACTGATTGCCTCTTTCTCTTTTCGTGTTCCATTCTAAATTAAAGGCAAAGGGTGAGAAAATTTTGTGTTCATTTCTTAAAATGTCACACTCATGTAAGGCAGAAAAAAATACATCATCTGCCCTTTAAAGCTTTGTCAGGGGAGAAAATTGCACTGAAAATCATATGGTTGTTTAAGACGACAATAATATGAATATAATATGAAATGCATGACAAGGACAACAAGGCAAAAATAAGTCCTTTTACAGGGTTGAGTGCAACATCAAACACATCTTTCACCAGGGAAGGACAACATTTTTTGGAAGAAACGAAATCACCGTTAAACAAGTAATTTTTAAGCAAAAAAAAAAAAACAAAACCGACTTCAATTCTCATATAAAAATTTAAGATTACCGTTATTTTCTTCATAATCTTATTATCAGATCCAAACCAAATTAGTATGGGACCATCTCGGAGGTATTATATTTCCTTAAAGAAGTATAGAAATCGGTTAACGTGGTCCAAAGTAAAATAAAAAAATATTCCGACGAATTGATAGGCTCCTTTTTTTGAAGTCGGTTAAAAATAAAAGAAAACTCGAACGAAAATCTTACACCGTTTTTTTATTGTTGTAGCAGCTTATTAAATTTGTGAATCGGCAACATGTTGACTTTGGCACGCACGCTTGCAAATAAAAATTCATTCCGACCAAACTATATCGGAATGCACGCATTTTTTTTTCATAGATAAATGCAGATATGTTTATTACATAAGTTGTTATTAAAAATTTTCGTCCACGAGGCGCATAAATTGCTTAAAAATTCAATTTTTCATAAAAAATTGATTGAAAAGCAAAAAAAAAATTTTTATAACGCAAATAATTTCTTTGTATAGTTTAATGTTTCTTAAAC